GCAACTTCTTCCAATCTCCTGTTAATATTGACATTTTGACCTCTTCCTGTGAATCACAGACGTTCTTAATGGCACCTTGAATAATGAATTCTTTACAGAAAGTTCTTCATTTACTTTGTCCAGATCCATCAGAGGAATCACTATCTATGGCAGCTAAAGCCTCATGAAATTTATTTCTTAAAAAATAAGACAAAGTTCAAAATTACTCCTTGATACATGGACTAAAGAATAGATGTTGTTTTAGCAGGCATAGAAACAACATTAATCTCATTGTACATCTCCATCAGAGCTCTTGGGTGACCAGATGCATTATCAATGAGCAGCAATATTTTTAAAGGTATCTTTTCTTCAGAGAATCTCTTAACAGTAGGCTTAAAATAGTAAACCATACTGTAAACAGATATTCTGTTATCCAGGCTTTGTTGTTCCATTTATAGGGCACAGGCAGAACAGATTTAGCATAATTTTTAAGGGCCACAGGACTTTCAGAATGGTAAATGAGCATTGGCTTCAACTTAAAGGTCACCAGCTGCATTAGCCCCTAACAAGAGTGTCAACCTGTTCTTTGAAGCTTTGAGACCAGGCATTGATTTCTCTTTCTTAGCTTTGAAAATCCTAGATGGCCTTTTATTCCAATGTAAAGCTGTTGCATCCACATTGAAAATCTGCTGTTTAGTGTAGCCACTTTCATTAATCATCTTAGCTAGATCTTCTGTGTAACTTGCTGTAGCTTCCACATCAACACTTGCTGATTCGCCTTGCACTTTTATGTTATGGAGATGGTTTCCCTCTTTAAACCTTCATGAACTAACCTTTGCTAGCCTCCAACTTTGCTTCTGCAGTTTTCTCACCTTTCTCAGCCTTCATAGAATGAAATCCAGGTCCTTGCTCTGGATTAGGCACAGCTTAAGGGACTGTTGTGGCTAGTTTGACCTTTTATCCATATCTCTAAAACTTTCTCCATATCAGCAATAAGGGTGTTTCACTTTCTTATCATTTGTGTGTTCACTTTTAATTTTCCTCAAGAACTTTTCCTTTGCATACTCAACTTAGCTGTTTGGCACAAGACACCAAACTTTTTGCTTCCCTTGGCTTTCAGCATTCTTTCCTCACTAAGCTTAATCATTTCTAGCTTTTAATTTAAAGTGAGAGACATTTGATTCTTCCTCTCACTTGAACATTTAGAGGCTACTGTAGGGTTAATAATGGACAAAACATTCCCATTAAAAGGCAGAGGCTGTCTATAAAAGCAAGAACCCATAATATTCTTTTTATAGGAGATGAACTTTAAATATATAAAGATGCAAATCTGTTGAAAGATAAATGACAGAAAAAGAGGTATAATACAAACACTGATTATAAGAAAGCTAGTGTGACAATATTAATAAAAGAACAGGTAATCTTTAAATAAGAATTATTACCAGACACAATGGACATTTCATAATGAAAGGGTCAATTCACCAAGAAGACCTAACAATTCTTAATGCGTATACAACCTAACAAAAGAGTTTTAAAACATAAGAAGCCAAAACAACAACAACAAACAGAACCAAAGACAGATACAAAGATCAACAATCATAACTGGAGATATTAACCCACCATTCTCGGGAACTGACAGATGAGGCACAAGGAGCCATTCATTTCTTTCTGATGGGGGAGTTTGCTCCCATTAGGAAGAAGGCAGAAAGAAGACTTGGTCTAATCTTCTTGTCAACGTGATTACCACATCTTTTGTAAATATAAAAATGACATTTACTAGAAAGAGAGGCTTTATATAGAAAAGATTCTTTAAAGGATGCTCCTCGTTAAGTATTTCTTTATCATGTATTTTGTAAGTAAATACAGAATGTGAATTTATGAGGTATGGGTCCCTGGAGGAGGTCACATAAGCTACACATCTTCCTGGGAGTATTAAATGGAGATGTTTTATAATTCAAATGCTCCTCTTCTATGTGAAATATTACTGTGGGCCTTAGAGTATGTGTCCAATAAAGGAAGACAGTTGTGGAGCTAGAATCAATGTCCCTGACTTCTTGTTTTGTCTGGGCCTCTTGATTTCCCACTTATCTTTGAGATTAATAATTAATAATATTAAGTTCTCTGATAAGTGTCAGTTTGATCTGAAACCTAATCCTTTGTGTTAACTTAATAGAAAAAAAACAGGAAAAAATTCAGTATAAAATATTTGAAAAGTCTATCAACCAACTTAAACTAATTGACATTTGCAGTCTACTAAACCCAGCAACTGAAGAAAGCACATTATTTTATGTAGCCATGGGAAGTTCAGTAAGATAAATGATAGAGTGGGCCATCAGACAAGTTTAAATAAATTTGAAAGTACTGAAATCATACAGAGTTGTTCTCTCATCACAATGAATTTAAATCAGAAATCAGTAACACTAAGGTAGTTGAGAAACTTAAAATTTTAAAACTGTTAACACACTTCTAAAGAATCTAGGAGTAAAGTAGGAAATAAGGAAAATTTAAAATATTTGAAATTGGATGATAATGAAGGCAATATATTGAAACTGTCTGTGGGGTGCTATGAAGCAATGTTTACAGGGAAATTTATAGCTTTAAGTGTTTACATTAGAACAGGAGATCTAAAAATCAACTACCTAATTTTCTACATAGGTAAAGAAGCTGGCTAATTTTTTTAAAAAAGCAAAATAAACCTAAAGTAAATTGAAGAGAAAAAATAATAAACAGGAAAGCAAACATGCAAAAAAAACTAACAAATATTTGGTGTTCTGAAATGATAAATAAAATCCATAAACCCCTAGCAAGACTGTCAAAAAAAAAATAGGGAAAATAACAATTTCCAATATCAGAATATATCAGAACTAGAGGTGATGGCTATAAAACACTGTGAATGTACTAAATGTCACTGAATTGTTTACTTTAAAATGGTTAATTTTATGCAAATATCACCTTAATAAATTAGTTTTTAAAATTAAAAAGTTAAAAAAAACACTTAAAAATCCCCAAATCGGAAATAAAAGAGGGTGTTTCTATAGTAATATAATTTTAATTTAAAATAATGTATTTAAAGCAGTCTGTCAAGTTGGCAAAGTCACAATGTCATGTGACAGTGGGCTGAGGGAACTAGAAAGTGAGCACCGATCATGGAAAATGTATTGAAAATGTGATCATAATCCCAAATATTCTGATCATAAACATCATAAAAATAACTGAATGCGCAACTGTTTAACATCCTAGGGGAATGATTTGAAATAAAGTCCAGCTCATGAGTTGATTATGATCAGCTTTGTAGTATAGGTTTATAGGAAAAGCCTTTATTCATCCTACTAGAATATATGCTTTCCTTAAGGAAAAGGATGATGGCTTGCTTATGCTGACTTTTCACATAAAATTATTATGGTGTATGCTATATATTATTAATCAGTAAATATCTGCTGAGGTAAAATAAACTGCTCAACTTTATAAGAGGACTCAGGATATGACCCCCCTACACCCTTAATTCTGATGCCAGTTGAAACTTTGTTCGTGTAACTATGGCCAAGGTATAAATTTAAAGGCACAGTGGCAAAATAATTTGGACTCTGTGATCTGTCAAGCCTAAATTTGCCCAGTTTGGTCCCTTACTGACTAACTGTATTAACTATGGCAAATTATCTAACTTCTCTGAACTTTTCCACTTTAGAGCCAAGTTTCATTTGCAAAATGGGGATCAAGACAATTTCCAGGATAGAGCATATAAGGATGATAATGATAAAAGCAGAAGCTAACGTTTATTGTGTTCTTACATTTACCCAGCATTTTACTATGTGCATAATTAGAATTATCTCATTTAATAATTTAGCAATTTAATCAGGTTATTGTATTTCTCAATTTATAAATGGGAAAACTGACAATTAGAAACTTGTCCAAAATCCCATGTGTAATTAATGACTAGGCCAGGATTTGAAAGAGTTTGTAGTCTACCAACCACAGTACTTGAACATAATAAATGCTCAATAAATAGAAGCTCTTAAAATTCTTTCTCAACTACTAGATTAATCTAATTATGATTAAAAGAAAAGTAAATCATATTAGGGCCATTTTCTCTTTTAAAAATGTTAAAATTATAGATACACTCAAAATAGATGAGTCGTTGGGCAAAGAGAAATCTTCTAATTAGAAAATAAAGGTAAAATGTAATTTTCCAATGCTAAAAAAAGGACATATTGTATGTTACACCAGCCAAAGGACAAGAGGTGGGAAAAGCAGGAACAGACACAGAGGTATGTCTCACAGCTGAGTTCACAGCTTGAGATGCAGAGAGTTATCTGGGGGAATTTTTATCAAGCCCAAGGAGATTTTAGATATATATCTCTCCAAGGAAGACTTTGTCTTCTAAACATTTAGAATTATCTGAAAAAGCTATTTTAAAACCTAAGAAAATGGAGCTATGGATTAAATTAAGCAGTGATTCGTAACAGTAAAGTTTGAAAAAATTGTCATTTTACTTCCAGGTGCTTTTAAGTCTGAAAGCTGTCTCTCACCGTATATTTATAAACGTGGTGGTTAATAATTTTAGTTTCTTCTCATCTTGGCTGCTTTAACTTTTTAAAATAATGATTTAGTAATGTTCTTAATTATGCCTATTAGAAATCTGGCTATGTGGACTACAAAGCTATCTATGAGGTACTGCAATCCATCTGGTCGCAGGAGGAAATAAACACCTTTCTGAGGTCTGACTTTTCAACAATCACCTTATAAAGAAACAAAAATGCCAAGCATACAAAAACGTATGTCAAATGATGAGAGACTGAGGCACAAAGGACAAAGGGCTAGTCTATACTTGATAAATGTTTGTTGGTAGAGGGAGAAAGGACGAAAGAGAGGGAAGAGCAAGAAGAGGAGAATAGGGGATTCCAAACAGATAGCCACACTCAGAAATCCTGAGGTGGAGAGGGGAAGCTAAGAGTTTGGTTAGAGTGCAGATGTCTGTGCAAGTGAGGCAATACGCGCTGAGAGAGGTGTGGCCAAACACTTACCTCAACCCGTTGTAGAACAACCTCTTGTAGTCAACATTTATTATACTGATATTCTCTTTTCTAAGTAATTCAATGGGGTATAACCGGCCCACTTGCTGAAAACCAGGAGCTTTTGACTTGACATAGTTCCTATCACTACCTGGCAACCAATAAATCTGTAAGAAGAAACAGGAAACCTTTCAGTTTGTACATGTATAGGTACAAACAGTCTCATGCAGAATAGAGCCCCTTTCCAGCACGGGCAACAGGCTATAGGGAGTAGAAAAGAATTCCAGCCCTTGGCCTAATATTGTCTTAATAAACTCTCACAATGGGGCTTTCGCCAGAGTCGTTCTGCAGCCGAGTTTCCTCAGGTAAAATCATGGGGGTCAAGGGGTCGCTGTGTGCAGATAGCCTCACACTAGACCAAGTGGACAAGGGGGTGGCAGGTGTGGATGAAAGGTAGGAATCATAAGCATCTCCTCTGGCTGATGCTGCTAAACATCCTCTTTGAGAGGACTCATTTCCTGCCAAAAGGGAATGCTATCATGACTCAGCTGTGCAAATAGTGCCATTGGTACAAAGGTACATTTTCTCACTCATAGCACTATTCCATATTCTGAAAATTTAAGAGATTTGGAATGACTGATTACCTCAAGCAGAGAGTTGCTTCTGAAAAATGTGATGAACATCTCTGCTCAAATAAGAATTAGCTTATCCATCGTTACTTGAAGTCAAGTCTTCAAAGCCTTATTGTTCCCTGGGCTCTTACTATAGTTCTGCCTTGGTGCAAGATGGGGGTCACATCATATAGTCATGATACACATCCCTTTTTAACAGAGTGCTGATATTTCTATTAGCTTGGGTTTCCCCTCACTGAGATAAATATTAGTGGGTCACTGTTCATTGCCACATGTAGCTGTATAAGAAACAATCTCCAGCCCCACCCAGGCAGAGAGTCACCCCAATATGCCAAGGTTGCTGGTTCACTCCCCAGTCAGGGCACATACAAGGAGCAATAAATGGATGCATAAACAGGTAAAACAACAAATCAATATTTCTTTCTCTCTTTTCTCCTCTCTCTCACTCTAAATTTAAAAAAAAGAAAGAAATGATCTCTATTTCTGTAGGAAACAGAATTATTTAAGGATGACAGGAACGATCTACAAGGTCAGTCACATTCAACTGCTATGCTCCAGGGACATTCTACCCACCTCCCAACCTCTACATTAAATGTTGAAATAGACATACCAGATGTTGCTCAATGTTAGAGTCAAGGATCACACGTACTGTTTCACGGATAAATGTGTTTCTGAAAGGGTGTTTTTCTGGAGGGCTAGAAAGATCAAATATCACAAATTTTCTCTCCTTTTGTGCAAGTTCCATTAAATCACTTAGTTTTGGAATCCTCTGATTTCTTGCTTTTTCTCTATCAGCTTCTGATAAGGGTTTCATATTGTAAAATGGTTTGAGCTAAAGAAAAAGAAAGTACAAAAGAGAATGCATTGGCTTCCATCAGAAGCATTTCACAATACTCACGCCATAGAACTTGACACCTAGTCCTACTTATGTGTTGCTCCATTACCATTCAGCCCACCAGGCCATCTGAAATACTGGTCCTGAGCTAAGAGTTAACAAGGAGAGATTAAATGCAATCTCCATAGGTAATTATGGCATGTGGAATGACTGGGTCTATATCAAAGAACCTGTTGCCTGTATATTTGCACTGAAAGTCCTTCATGTTCCTGTCTTAACCTTCCTTTTCAGACTTTTTTCTCTAACTCAAGGTAATCCGATCCCTTTTTAGTTGCATTGGCTTCCAATATTTGCTCTCACTGTTCTAGAAGTAGGCTGTGCCTTCAGAATGGAGTCAATCCCAGCTCTGTCGCTCATTTGCCTTCTGTGCCACATCCACCTCTTAAAAGTCTACCCTTAACCTGCAAAGTGCAGTTCAAGTGCTACTTCGTTCAAGAAGCCTTCCTTAAATATTCCTGAACTAAAGAGACTGTGATGGTGTTAATCGCCAGTAGCCCATTTTTGTGCCTCTGTAATTAAATGTCTCATTCTGCCTTCTATAGTTATCGGTGGGTATCTTAGACCAGAGGAAAACCCTGGCTTCACTTGCTTTTTGCTATGTAACGTTGGTAAAGCCACTTAAATTCTCAGGGTCTTTCTTGCCCAAACTCTAACATAGCGGACTGGAGGGAAGGGGTAATCTATGAATTTCTCAAGATGATTTTGAAGGTTAACTATGATAACATATTTACAGGGTCTAGGAACACGTCCAGCACATAGAACAGTGCACAATTCACTTAGTTCCCTCACTTGCCACTGCTTCAACTGGAGCATAACTCCCTTATGGCAGGAACTGTCAATTTGTCTTTGAGATACACAGCGCTTCATCTTACACCACGGCCCACACATATGGCTGCTTTTACCGTCATTTACCAACTGTAGATTACCTGTGGGTGAAAAGTCCATGAAGCAGTAGCCACCTCACATTTTCTTAACTCAAATAATCCTCTCTCTGTACAACTTTATCTTCATTGTCATTCTCACCCTTTCTATTTCTTCTCCTTCCCTTGACCTGCTTAGCAAGCTGCCCTTCCTCAGCTTTCTCTCAGGAAGAAACACATTGCACAATGTCCCCAGGCTAGACTGGAAGGCAGATCATAGAAGTGGAATTAAACCACAGTTTAATGAGGGTTTGTTTTTTCTTTTCATCCTCAGGAAAATAGAAATTTCCTTCAAGATTCAAGATTTTGTTTGACTGTATACCAAATCTAGAGCAACTGGTTCATTTATCTGTTAAAACTTAATGTGGGAGAGACTGTTAAAAGAACAAGATGGGAAAGACCAAGACAGGATTTAAATGACTAAGATGTGCATTATATTTAAAATGTCCCTGAGTGGGCAAAAGGAATAGGAAATACACATAAGGACATATTTATGAAGCTTTTCCTTTTAGCATAAAGTGGATAAAAAATGCAAAAGAGCAGAAATAAACAAACAAAATCAACAACGATGTTTAAAACTCTATAGCATCCAGTAAGCTGTAAGTGGTACTATGGGGTAGCTCTAAGAGCTGAAGTAAACCAAGTATCTTCTTTTGTAAGTAAAAAGGGGACTTAGTCAAACAAGAAACTGGAATGGGACAATGCCGGTTTAGATTATCTCCAGTATGTGGTTGAACATTTTCAAAAGCCATAGGAAGTAACAATATAGAAATGACAACAAACTTCTAGTTCTCCACATAAGACTGCTGGTTCCTCAATCAAAAACAGTACTAAAAGGCCCTCGGTTCTCTGTGCCTACGCACAGAGAGATTACGAGGAGGAGGGCCACTGGAGGATTCAAGGTACCGTGCTGTTTAAGAAAGAGGACAATTATCGGAATCTGCTCAACAGCCCACCGAAAGGAAACCACTCAACAGACCATTTGAGAAGTATCTGTACATCCAGATGAACCACAATGCGGTTTTTGTTGACGCAGGTGCCACCACTTGACTATTAGTCTTGAAACCATAGAAAATTAGAGTGCTCAGCGTAGCACTGAGGTAGTGGGACTTTCTAACCGTCCCAACTCCTCTCCGTTGTCTCAACCTGTAAACTGTGATTTTCAGGCCATTGTCAGAAACACTCCTTCTCCTCTGTGGTGCTTTCCTATAAACGTCATTATTAGGAATCTGCTTTGTAAAAACCACCCCCAGAGGAAAGGTGTGCAAATTATTTTTAGGAGTCACCGAAAATTCTACCACACATTATCAGGTTATGGTGATGGGTATTAGTATATTGATTCAACAAATAACCAAATACTTGGCCATGGTACTAAAACCTCTGAGGGGAAAAGAAGCAGAATCATTATAATCAAACCTATAAGAATTCAGATTGACTCTGTTGACACCATTGCCTAACATCCTCTTAGTGCTGCAGTTGAGGAAGATCTCAGCCAACTGTAACAGGCTTAATGTAATAAGGATTCATCATCCCTTTCCTTAGCCCAAGCAATATGTCTGTTTTACCTGCTTGAAAACAAAATAAGACAAAAAAAAAAACAAAAAACTGAGAAGGTGGAGGATACTGATGCATCCAATTTCTTTGAGCTATTAACCAAAGAGTTATATCTCATTCTCTAGCACTGCCTAGCCCAATAATACTCCAGTTGGTTCAAATTCTACTTTTTCTTGTGCTTTAGCTGATGAAGATAGACAATATTTATTGCCTCCACTAGGAAAAAAAATCAACAATTTACCAGGAAAGTTATGCTTCAGGTATTTACTGAAGGCCCATCCTACTCTTCTCTAGCCAAACCAAGATCTTAAGGATATTCTGCAGCCCATCTTGGAATTCTAAGACTGACTCTGTAACTCTACTCAAAACTTTTAGGAAAAAATTTAATTCTACAAAATAACGGTTCATTATCCAGGGTTCAGCAAACTTATTCCGTGAAGGACCACATACTAGATATTTTTGCCTTTGTGAGAAAAACAGGCTGTCTCTCAACTATTCAACTCTGCTATTAAACTGTAAAAACAGCCATAGACAATTCATAAGTGAATAAGAATGGCTATGTTCCATCAGTAAATAAATAAACTGTGTTTATCGACAATGAAATTTGTTTTATATATTTTTAACACATCATGAAACATTGTTCCTCTGATTTTTTTCCCCGCTATTCAAAAATGTAAAAACCATTCTTAGCTCAAACGCTGTACAAAAGCAGACAGTGCCCTGGACTTGGACATCAGGCTGTGGTTTGTCAACCTCTAATCTAGGCCATGCTATATTGGCTAAGGAAGGATATAATCTAATAAGAGATTACAAATTACCCAAAAGTATCTGAATCCAACCACTAAAGACAAGATGATTTCTGGGGCCAATGGGATATTGTAAAGTATAGACACAGGCCTCTGCGGTTTGACTTAAAACTTGGAACCATTCTCATGAAACGTAGACCCAAAGACCTTCGGTGATCCCAAAATACTCAACAATCATCTCTGCTGATCTTCCAGACCATCATAAATGCTTCTTTTTGAAAGTGCACAAAAGGGGAGACCATGGTCTAAGGGTATTAACTCAACAACTTGGCACATATCAAGGACTCATTGTTACCGCTCTCCGTTCCCTGATCCAGCAACAAGGCTTTTTATCTTTCCTCAGGAAAAACATGCAGTCCTGGCTAAATTAGTCTAAGCAGCTTCAGATCCCGTTCTAGCTTCACCTTTCTGTACTACATTTAATACAATCCCCATTGTCAAAGCAAATACCCGCTCTTTTTATGTTAGTTGATTAAGTACCATACAGTTACATTCTCTTTCTCATGTGACCATTCATGATTGTAATACTTCCGTTTTTTAAAGATTTTATTTCTTTATTTTTGGAAAGGGGGAGGGAGGGAGGGAGGGAGAGAGGGAGAGAAACATCAATGTGTGGCTGCATTTCACGCGCCCCCTGCTGGGGACCTGGCTTGCAACCCAGGCATGTGCCATACACTGGGAATTGAACCAGCGACCCTTCGGTTTGCAGGCCGCTGCTCAATCCACTGAGCCACCCCAATCAGGGCTCACAATCATAATACTCTTAATACAGCAAATCCATTAGCCTTACCTATGAGAAAGAATCTCATGCTTTCTCTAATTTGATAACAGTCCATGCTGGAAATAGTTCTTTTGGATGCTCCTATATCAAATCTTGATTTAATATTGTTTATTGATAAGTTTTATTTTTATGATGAAAAATAGTAATAGGCTGATTATGCAATAATTTTTCCAGATTCTTTTCTAGAATCTCAAATCTATGACCAGCTATTAAATTGGCTCAAGTGGCCAAAATACGGCCCTCCTTAGGGGATGTGAGTTTGCTAAAAATAAAAGGGTAACTACGTACAATGATTGCTTGTTTGCTTTTGAAGTAGGTCACAACTTCAGAATGCTATAAGAGGGGTAAAAAGAGGATTTTAACCTCTTTAGTTATCTATATTAAACATAAATGACAAATACACAAGTTACCTAGGCCTTGAAGCTTCCCAAATAATTGTGGTCCTAAAGGTCGAGGTCCGCAGTAAAAGAGACATTAGAGGAAATGCTTCAGTAGATTATCATACTGAACTGAATGCTCCAGTAAAGTCCTTAGACAAGGAAGGGACTCTTATAGAAAAGAAAGACCAGTCTACGGAGTTCAAGAATTGCATCATTAATGCCCAAAAAGTGGCCCCAATTCTGAAAAACAAAACTAACACTAGAACCAATCAGGTAGTCAGATTCATGCTGGCCACCTGGTAGCACCAATTAACCACAAATAGATACTTCCCCAAATCCTCCATGACACACCTCATCACAGAGGGGATAAATTGACTGCAGCATTAAACAAACGCTAAGATATCAGAAAATGTGACCAGTTTTTCTTCTTCAGCTATAACTAACGTAATCCTGAGAAAACTGTAAAAGTGAGAACTGGATTGGAACCTTGTCCTAAGGGACTCTCTTAAAGCAGACTTTGTACAATTTCTTCCCTCTGTGGGCAATGAATTTGTAGTAGTAATTGTGTGGTAATTTTATGGGTGTCTTAAGTAACATCACCTTAAAATGGCTTTAAAAACTACCATGTATTTGTTTACTTACTATATAGTAGTAGTAAAATATCTCCTGTCCTCATACACACCATACTCTTGAAATTGGAAAGAATACATAAAACGTGATGAAATGAACCAAACTATCATATATCCTTGCAATTCCATGCCCTCATGCATCACCCTTTTCTCTTATGCTTTGTGTTCTTTCTCTTAAAGAAGTTCTAGATTTTCTCTGTCAACTACTCACTTGCAGCCCCATGTCTTGGGAATATCTCCACCGAAAATTCCCATCAGTCATTTATAAAAACCCCTTTTAGTTAAATATCATAAAGGATTAACCAAGATATCTCAGTTCTGTCATTACAGGAACAGGCTGGAAAACAGCTCATAGAAAGACTGCTTTGAACATCACAGAAACCACCACACCAGATACTCAGAACTCCAGTAGAGCAGTTAAAGTAACAGGAATTCATCCTTGGATACACATTTCCCAACTAAAATGACATCATTCATCTACAAGGATAGGAAAAGTATGGCCATTGGAGATCATAATCCTAGGTTCTCCAGGGAACTGCCAGAAGTCGAGAGCAACCCAAGGTCCTTGTAACTAGCAAATAACTACTTGAAGGAGAACGGCGGATATCAAAAAGCAGAAGGAAAAGTTTCTCCTGGTAAATGCCAAACTCGCCTTTAAAGCTTTTTTTCTTTATGTTGTGGTCATACTTTTGTTTTCATTGACCTCATTTCATACACTGCTGATTTAGCTTTTCCTGTTTTCTTACTTAAAACAATAATTTGTCCAATTCTGGGATTTTCTAGGCACCCATCTGTGTAACTAAAATTCAACTCCACCAAACTGTTACTAGTGTAGACAACTTCAAAATATATTGGATGAGTGATTCCACTTCTGGGTATATACCCAAAGAAAACCAAAACATTAATTCAAAAGAATATATATACACTATGTTCATGGTAGCATTATATACAATAGCCAAGCTATGGAAGCAACCCAAATTTCCATCAATACACAAGCAGATTAAAAAGATGTGGTACATATATACAATGGAATGTCACTTGGCCATAAAAAGAAATGATTTCTTACCATTTGTGACAGGAAGGATGGACCTAAAGGGGTTATGCTAAGTGAAATAAGTCAGTCAGAGAAAGACAAATACCATATGATTTCATTTATACATGGAATCTAAAGAACAAAATAAATGAACATACAAAACTGAAACAGATTCATTTATACAGAGAAGAAACTGATGGTGGCCAGGGGGTGGCAGTTTGGGGGACTGGCTGAAAGAGGTAAAGAAGTAAGAAGTACAGGTTGATAGTTACAGAACAGAGATGGCAAAGTGAAGTACAGCATAGGGAATATAGTCAATAATAATGTAATGACTATGTAGGTTGCCATTGGGTAATGGAACTATCAGGGGGAACACTTTATAAAGTATATAATTGTCTAACCATTACATGCATACCTGAAATTAATATAAAATAGTATTGAATGTAAACTGAAATTAAAAATAAAATAAAAAATAATAAATAAAACAAAAATAAAAGAAAATATGCTGAACATACCATCCCTTGTCAGCTCCTCAAAAATCTGAAATTAATGCTTCTAAAGTGAATTTCATAAAAAAATATTCTAATCAACAGCCTTAAAAGATGTTAGATTGCTATCAAGTGATACAGATGGATGGATGGAGACACACACACACACACACACACACACACACGCAGACAGTGGAGGACTGCCACACTTAAAAATTGTGACTCACCTTGATTATAGACATCAGTCTAATTCCCAATCATAGTTCTCTTTATAGGTTAGGTTATACTTGCTATTGTAGTATTACGCATGTAAAATTCTTAAAAAGACTCAAAAATTGAAAGCAATCAGTTATTCCTATGAAGAGAATGAAAGTTCAAATTGTGTAGGTATAGAAATAACTGAAAATATAAAGATGTGCTTTTCTGACTGTATTAGTTCCTAACGGTTGCTATAACAAATTACTGCAAACTTGGTGAGTTATAAAACACAAATTAGCAACCTGAAATTGACTCTACTCTAGCACTTATCACAATGTATGTTAATTAACCTTCATATTCTAGGCAGTGAACTCTATTAAGGTTGGGTGTATGTTTATTCATTACTGTATTCCTTGTATCTAGTACCCAGTAAGTACTCAACAGATATTTTTTGAATGTTTGGAAGAGAGAATGAAGAGAAAATGTTTCCTAGTTTTCTTTATCTACGATTTTGAGCTACTCAAAATGCCCAGGACAATGTAATGTACATGGCAAGCACACTGTAAAAATTTACAAAGTTCTTAGTTAAAAAAGAATAAAGTGGCAATCAAGATTACAAATTTGTCTTCAGAAATTCCAGTGAGTGCAGAAAGCAGTAATTAGATTGACTGCATTACTGGAAAAACTCTTCTGACAATGCTACAATCCTGCCACCAAACTGAAATGAAATTGTGTGTACTCTTTAAATCCTCACCTGAGGACATGCTTATTGCCTTTTGAGAGAGGGACGGGAGAGAAACATAATATGAGAGAAACATCGATTGGCTGCCTCTCACGTTACCCCCACTGGGGACAAAACCTGCAATGTAGGCATGTGCCTTGACCAGGAATCGAACCCGTGATCTTTTGGTTTACAGAAGGACACCCCAACAAGTTGAGCCATATTGGCCAGAGCGAATTATCTGTATTCTTGTCTAACTTCATGTAAAGCCTTTATCTCCAGGAGCAGCACATGACCTTGTACAGGAGAGGGAATCAATGCAGGATTGTTGAGTTAGAGATGTGTCTTACCCGTGATTGTACAAACCAGCTGCCAGCATTCAGAGTTTTCAGGACATCCCAATAGAAGAAGTGACTTAAATTGTGGGCATCTTCTGGCATGATCTCCTTGATGTTGGTTGTTCTTCTCAGGTCATGGTCATGCATGAGAAAAGGCACCCCATCACAACTGCAGGCCGAAGCGGGAAAGAGGGGAATGGGTGAATAGGTTGAACTCAGCCACCTTGGCACACAGGGCTCTCAGAAAGCCCATCACGGTCACAAGTCTTACCAGGGTTCCTTACTCCCTCCCACATCTCAGCAGAGGCCTAGGTACCAGACATTTACACTTTGATGTCCATATTTTTTCTGCCCTAGAGATCAGTCTTTTGTGATATATAATAATCAAATCTGTGATGGTAAAAGATGAGCTTCCCTATCTAAGGGCTTTCTAGCATCAAAACAAAAATAAAAACAAAACGGTAGATACAATGTTGACCTGATTGTTAGGTGAGTGGGGTGGTTATGGCGCAAGGCCCTGGGGTTCCAGAACTATGTATGCTAAGCAGGCATCCATACAATCCCCCTGTGTTTTTCTGACCCATTTCTCAGCTAGGCACCTGCCCTGAGTATTTCTGGTACCAGATCTTTCACATTAGATGGTATCATTAGAAAAGTTCCTGGTTCTCTCATCTGCTATTTGTCTTGAAGAATCTTTGCTTTTATGAAAATCTCTCTCTTCCTTTCCCATTAAAATATGTAAGAGAATTCTTTAACAGCCATGAAGGAATAAGAGAGATGAGACTTAGCCTCCTACCCATAAACAACCAGAAAACTAAACAAAATAAGGGAAATACTGTATTTTGCTGTGTATAATGCACACCCAATTTTTTGTGTGCATTATACATAGGATTACTATACCTATTATTATGCCGATAGTATATAATCATTATACTCATGTATAATGCACATCCTTATTTTTCTCTCAAAAATTTGGGCAAAAAAGTACTCATTATACATGGGAAAATATGGTAACTTTTCAGCCAAAGGACAACAGGGAGCACACAGTATGATGATCTCTAGGAAAGACAAACAAATGAAATAAGATCTTCCATTACCCAGGCTTCCTTTTAGCAGGTGAATACAGGACTGCAGCACAGGGAGGGGAACCTACTGCGCACCCAGCTACCATGCTGAAATGAGGAGAAAGAGGTAAGATTGAGGAGAGGTCAAGACGTCTAGAATTTGTGTACTGGAGTCCCACAGATGATGGAGCAGAGCTAAATAAGTAAACAAAAGATTTCTGGGGAAATATGTACAGATACCCTTATGTTCAGCTAAATATCAGTCTCTATATATGCAGAGTAAAACTCTAGGAATCTCATATTTTCATCATATAACAAAAATTTACCAGACAGGTAAAGAAGCAGGAACATGTAACCATAACCAAGAGAAATCACTCCATAAGGAAAACTTGAAAATGAAAGAGATAACACAAGTAGTAAATAGGGGTATTAAGTTATATATAACAAAAATATACATGATTTATATAATAGATATAAAGAAAAATATGAACATAATGATGATAAATATAAGATGGGGAAAAAACAAATTCTAGAGCTGAAAAAATATAAAAACATGAAACTTTCATTAGATGAAATTAAATGTTTAGATATTAGAGATCACGTGAAGACAAATGAATTTAAAAATGTAGCAACAGAATCTAAATGACCTGAGAGAAAATATCAAGCAGACATAAATTATGTGTGATTAGATCCTATAAAAATCTTCAAAATTTGATGAAAATTATGTATCAGCAGATCCAAGAACCTTAATAAATACCAAGAAGGATAAACATAAGGGTACACATACACATCCTAACATTAAGGAATACTATAATGAAATTGATGAAAAACTGATGAGGAAAACTGTAGAATTAGCCAGAGGAGGGAATGGCATATTTTGACAGAAATAAAGATAAGCACAGAACAGACTTATCAAAAAATTTTAAAGATCTAAAGCAATGAAACAACATATTTTGCATACTGAAGGAAATCAACTGCCAAGTTAAAATTCTTCAAAATGAAGGGAAGAAGAGAAAATGCCAGAAGATAGCAGAGCAGGCAGCACCAGTAATCTGTCTCCCCACTTAGACAACTGCACTGGCTAACTTTGATGTAGCTATTTTGGAACTACTGAAGTCTTGCAAATTTCAGAGGAAATCACAGAAGTAAAGCAGGGTTCAGTTCAGTGGATTTCAGCATTTAGCCCAGCAGCCGCTACCCATTCCACAAGGGGAACAACTGTGCACAGATTCCTGCAACAGCTTAAACAGCAAGCAGCTGGTGAGAGCTGGGACGGCAAAGAGTTCCTGTGTTCCACATATAAGGGATCTGTGCTCTAGTTGCTGATGGCTGCTTCTTCTCACAGGGAGGCAGTAAGAAGCAGGCAATCACTGTTGTTGATCCTTCCCCCACCGTTGCAAAGCCCTCACCTTCTGGCTGAAGTGAGTTCCAGGGCATTTAAAGGTCTAGCACCCTTTTTACACCTCAACAATTTTTTCCCCCTTTTGGAAGCCAGACCTTAAGGACCAGCACATTAAAAACAGCTGCATGTACAGGGAAAATTAGAAAGTGACTATGCATGCCAAAAGAAAGGACCGGGAAAACCTAAGACCTTAAGTTTACACCTCAATGTGACCCATGTCACAGAGACATCCTACAATGACTGAAAAACAAACACAAAAAAGCAGCAAGCTCTGGAAAAGGAGAAGAATCTGATTTGTAGTGTGACCACATTATAAGACTGAAATGTCCACTTTTACACACACACACAGAATATAAACACACAGGAAAGTATGGCCTATTCTGAGTTAAAAAAAATAAATCAACAAAAGCTGTCCCTGAAAAAAAAAAGAGCTCGTGGCACATATATTAGACAAAGAGTTTAAAACAATTGTCTTAAAGACACTCAAAGAAGTAAAGAAAGATGTAGATAATGTCAAGAAAACAATATGTGAAAAAAAATCTAAAAAAGAGATAAAAACAAAAAAAATCTAGAATTAAAAAGTACAATAACTGAAATGAAGAACTGACCAGAGGAATTTAAAGGCAGATTTAGCAGGCAGAAGAATCAGAATCAGTGAACTTGCAGATAGAACAATAAACATTACTAAGTCTGAGAAAAGACTGTAGAAGGTAAACAGAGTCTAAGGGATACCATGACACCAATAAAACTACAGGTCAATATCTCATGAACACTGATGCAAAAATCCTCAAAGAAATACTAACAAATAGAATTCAGCATCATAGTAAAAGGATTATATAACATGATCAAGTGGAATTTATTCCCAAAGTGAAAAGTTGGTTCAACATACCAAAATCCATCAGTTCAATACACCACATTAACACCATGAAAGGGAAAGAAAACATATGCTCATCTCAACTGATGCAGAAAAGCATTTGGCAAAATTCAACACCCTTTTATGATTTTAAAAAACTCACTAACTTATATAATAAAAGAAAACCACCCTAACATAATAAAAGACATATATAAAAAAAAAACACAGTAAACACCATATTGAATGGTGAAAGTCTGAGAGCTTTTCTTCTAAAATTAAGAACAAGGCAAGGATGTCTGTCTGCTTTTGCGACTTCTGTTCCTAGTAGTATGGGAAGTTCTAGTCAGAGCAATTGGGCAACATAGGGAAGTAAGAGGCATTCGCACTGTGGACATAGAGGGTTATTATGCTAAGTGAAATAAGTCAGTCAGACAAAGACAAATGGCATATAATTTCACTTATATGTTGGATCTAATGAACAAAATAAACAATCAAAATAGAAACAGATTCATAGACACAGAGAACAGACTGACAGCTGTCAGAGCAGTGGGGGAGTTGGGAGCTGGGTGAAAAAGGTGAAGGGATTAAGGAGCACAAATTGGTAGCTGCAGAATAGCCACAGCTATGTGAATTGCAACATGGAGCATAGTCAAAAATGTTGAGATAACAGTTACAGGGCCAGGTGGGTGCTTGGGACAGCAGGGGGACTAGAGTGCTTGGTGTTCTGGTCACTTGGCTGAACATCCAAAACTGGTGTGGAATAGTACTGAATGTAAACTATGACTGAAAAATAAAGTTTAAATGAAAAAAAAGGCATCCAAATTGGAATGAAAGAAAATTTACCTCTGTCTTCAGAAGACATGATCTTATACGTAGAAAATCCTAAAGATTCCGATTAAAAAAACAACTTAATAAATGAATTCAGCAAAGTAACAGGATACAAAGTCTAAACACAAAAATCAGTTCAACTTCTATACTCTAACAATGAAAAATCTAAACAGGAAATTACAAAGACAAGTCCATTTTCAATTGCATAAAAAAATAAAGTACTTAGAAAATGACAACCAAATTGATGAAAGACTTAAAAAAATCAAAATGAGAAAACATTGCTGATAGAAATTAAAGACATAAATAGATAGAAACACATTCCATATCTGAAGACTTAATATTGTTAAATATCAGTATTACCCAAAGCAATCCAAAGATGTAATGCAATCCCTAGCAAAATCTCAATGATGCCCTGGTCAGGCAGCTAGTTTGGAGAGTCGTGCTGATACACCAAGATTGTGTGTTCAATCTCCTGTCAGGGCACATAAAAGAATAAGCCAATGAATGGATAAATAAGTGGAACAACAAATCAATGTGTGTGTGTGTGTGTGTGTGTGTGTTTCTTTCTCAAATCAATTTTTAAAAATCCCAATGAAATTTTTTGAAGAAACAGAAAAGTCCATCCTAAATTTCAGATGGAATATTAAAGGATCCCAAATAGCCAAAATAATGTTCAAAAAGAGAGGACTCACATTTCCTGATTTCAAAACTTACTACAAATCTACAATAATAAGAGTATGTTACTGGCATTAAACAGAAAAATAGACAAATGGAAGAATAGAGAGCCCATAAATTATCTTATGATGATACGATTTTTAACAAGGGTCCCAAGACCATTCAACAGAAAAAAAAAAAAGACAATCTTTCAATCAAAGGATGCTGGAAAAAACTGTGTATTTGCATGAAAAGAATGAAGTTGGGACTTTACCTAATACCACATACAAAAATTAACACAAAGTGAATCCAAGGCCCTAATGTAAGAACTAAAACAATAAAATTCTTACATGAACACACAGAAAAAA